CTATGGTGCAGCACCTCAAAAAGAAGCAACAATGATATCTGCTGTCTGTGTGTGCCTCTGTCCCCAGTGAAAGTCCTATTGCTGATGCCTACAGGGTCTTTTGTCCTTGGAGAGACAATAGACCCTCTTCCAAATGTACTCCAGGAAGGGAAATGTTCTCTCCCAGAGCAACCCAGGAGATCCCTACACCTCACTATGCACTCTAGGGCCAGGACCCTCCTCCCCAGGAGCATGTGCCACAGCTCCACTCCATAAAAAGTTGCTCACCAACATGGATGGAACTTGAAGGTGTTATGCTGAGCGAAATAAATCAGGCAGAGAAGGACAGATACCATATGTTTGTACGTATAAAAGGATCAGGAGGAACTTAATGAAGGACCGTGGGGGAGAAGAAAGGGAAAAAAATAGTGGGAGAGAGGGAGGGAGGCAAACCATGAGAGACTCTTGAATGCTGAGAGCAAACTGAGGGCTGATGGGGGTGGGGGGATGGGAAGGGGGTTGATGGGCATGGAGGAGGGCACTTGTTGGGATGAGCACAGGGTGTTATATGGAAACCAACTTGACAATAAACTATGAAAGAAAAAATTTAAATCAGTCATTAACCACTTTTCAAGTTCTCAGTGGCCCCACATGGCGTATGGGTATTGTATTGGACAGTGCTAGTATGGAACATATCCATCATTATGGAAAGGTCTACTGTACAGTGCTGCTTTAGACTTCCTCCCCAGAATAATATTCGTATGCATATATATATATTTAAAATTCATACAATTTCCATGTGTTTGCACCTTGGTATGAAAGGCCCTTACAATACAGGCAAGAGGGAAATGATGGGTGTTGGTAATTAAGTTAAAATCAAAGGTAGTTTCAGTATAAGCCAGGGTCCAAACTTGTGAAAATTTTAGCTTAGAACAGTTTCTGGCTAAGTTGCCTGCAGCAGAATGAGTCACTTGTTCATTTCAACAGGGGTGGGCTCCGTTTTCCTGTGCCTCGTGGTGAGTTCTGTGGTTGTCTGGGCATATGTGGCCACATGGTGATGTGTGCACACTTCAGACAGGGAGAGATCTTCACAGCTGAAGTTTCAGTGAAACTAGATTCACTTCTCTCATTTACTTGCAATCTCTTTAATGGAAGACATTACATGGCTTTCACTTCTATTAGGCTGTGTCCACTCAGTGATCACTTATTGAGAGCTTTCTATGTCCCAGGGATTGTACTATGTGTTGCAGTTATGAAAAATGTTAGAAAAGTTTATAATCCAGCAGAGGAGACAAAGATGAAACCCAGCTAGTCCTAGATAAGGCAAAACCCAAATATTAAGTGCTGGCACAGACAAGGTACTAGGAAATTGGAGAAAAAGAAAGATTAAATTTAATTTAGGGGACTAGAGAGGGCTTGGAACAAAGAAATGACATTTGAGAGCAGCCCTACAGAACAGCATGAAATATGCCATTGCTGAGAATTATTCCACATTCACATCCGTGAACGACATCCTTGAATTTAAAATTCTTTGATACAAGTTGTGATTTTTCCCATTCGTTCTTTTGTACTGAACTTTCTGGAGAGTTCCACTCTCACCTCATCTTATTCTCATGGTTCAGCATGCATGTCTAGGTACAATTCCAGGGCCAGAGTTCTCAGTCAATTTTTGTCAGTACTCCCTTGTCCTCAGGCCTCTGTTGTTGTCTTGCCCATCTCCCACATTGCCTTGCTGAAATCAAGGTCATTTAGTTTGAGGTCTCTTAACAATACTCCATTCCAACTCAATAGTTCTTTGTCTTTCCCCTCATTCTTTACCCACCCTCATCCTCCTTAGGGTTGGAAGGGATTCCTTTCCACGAGTAACTCCTTATTCTGTCCTTTTCCTCCTCTTCTAGGACCTAGTTCTGGCGTCTTCAATTTTCATTGCCCGTATGACTCTCGTTTTAGAGGCAGATCCAGGTTTTGTAGGGCCTAATGCTTACTCAATCTCCGGAGCCCTCTTCAAGAAAAAGAACACAAAATTACAGATACCAGCTTAGGAACAAAAGTCAATATTTATAGTTGACCCTTGAACCATTGTCCTGAGCCACTGCACAGTAGGAAGTTCGCATGTAGCTTTTGACTTCCCAAAACTTAACTACTAATAGCCTACATCTCTTACTTCATTGTTTCTCTCTATTGACTTGGACCAATACAAAAGGCTATTATTTGAGCTGAAAAAACTCAGAGCTGAATGTGACTCGCCCTATTGAGTTAATGACAGGTCAGATCTGGAATCTGAGTTTCCTGCTTCTTCTTCATGGCTACTTCACAGTTTTAAATCCACTGAAATCTATTTTGTACACAGTATTGCCAGGTTAATCTTAACAGTGATGACTCTCACCAGATGAAAGTGTAGTCCCTAGTATGGTATTTCAAGGCCCCTTAAATTGGGTGTTAGATAACATCTCAAATTTACCTCCTTGGATTATACTGTACAATCAACTGGGTTAGGGTTAGGGTTATTCTCTGAACATGACCATATTTTATAGTAATTTCTGGAAATAATTTCTTCCCTGCTATGTCCTAGTTCAGTAGTTTGAACTTATCAGTTGTGGTCTGATGTTATCTTTATTTGTGTGTCTGTAGTAAATATTGTGGTTGTCTCAACATCCTTTCCATCCCAGATGATTGCAAGTCCAGTGAATTATAATGATCCTATCCATTTACCTGTGATTGGTTTAGGGATGGGCATGTGACACATTTCTTGCCAATGACACAGAAGGGAAGATAGCTGGGCAGAATATTGGAAAGGTCCCCGTGTCTTAGAAGGAGACATGGAAGAAATAGTCTTTTCTGATTCTGGATATTGTCATGGCTAGATGTGACCTACAAGAACTGCTCTATGGTCTCCTTGCCCTCAGCCTGACAAAGAAGATGGAGAGAATCTGGGCTATTGATATTATTGAAGATCTAGTCACCAATCCTGGAGCCTGCCCTGTCTCTGAACTTCCCATTATGTGAAGTAATACATTTCCTTATTGTCTAAGCCATTGTAAGTCACAGTTTTCTGTTATCTACAGCCTAAAGCAGCAGGAAATAGTGTTTTGTTTCCACTGCTAGACTTTAAGTGTCTGAAGTTCAGATTCTATTTTGTTCAGCCCTCTATAACTTGGCACAGAGAAGATGCTCAAAAATTGCTTGTGAAATATATATTTATAGGTTTATTTCTGAAATATAACTAGTTAAAACATTCACATGTATAAAGCTATTTACTAATAATTCAGAGATAAAATAAAGCTTAGATAGATTAAATAACTGGTTTAGAGCATTTTATTTTTCAGAGTCATTAGGTTCTGAACAGGTTGCTCCCCTTTGTCTGAAATCCTTGTCCACGATGACTATGCCCATTAAGGTCCCAAGAGTACTGGGCACTGAAGGAAAAAGCAAGCAGCAAGCTACCCCAGTGTTTAACCCAGCAACAGTGCCAATACAGTATCCTAGTTATTTCTGCCTCAGACCTCAACACTGGAACCTCTTCTCCTCTCCGTCCCAATTCATAATGGTATCTCTAGTGCCAGGACCATGAATCCCCATAGATACAACACTTTATATGCAGAGATATTTCCCCAGGAAAATGGATCATAACTTTTATTAAATTCTCAGGAGGGTCTGTGACTCCCTGAAAGGTTAAGAAGCACTATAATATGATACAATATTTCAGAAGTAAATAAAAAAACTAAAAATATTCCTCATTAAATGGACTAATATCTCCCTGTGTTCTGCATTATGTCATTGAAGGTACCAGTCTACCAGGAACCACTTGTAGATCATGAAGCAAGAAACATTTAGACAATAGAGAAGGTTAGATAACTCTAGTTAAGACTAGTGTAAAAGGAAAATGTAGAGCCCCTTGTTGAAAAGTTATTAAGGACTTCAAAAGGGCTACAGCAGAGCATTAAACCAAACACAAGTTCCTTCTAAGCTAGCAGCCCTGTAGAACTACACAGGTTGCACACCCATTGGATGGATACTGCTTCTAATACATATTACTAAGTATACTATTGCCCGTCCAATTATGCTGTATTCCTGCCATGCAGTACTTCATCCACCTAGAATGCGCCACAGATTGTATCAAGTGCTGGGCATTCCAGAGAGGAGCATTCATTCAATAAAACTGGGTGTCTACAAAAGGTTTTGTTCTAGATCCTGGGGATACCGCCCTGAGTAAGACATTCGCGTTGGGCAGAGGCAATGAACAAGTAAGAAAAATATCAGATGGTGATAGGTGCTGAGAGAGAGAGAAAAACAACAACAACATAGGATGATGTGATTATAGTGTGACTGGGTGGCTATTTTAGATTGGGCGGTCAGGGAGGCCCTCTCTGAGATGACATTTGAGCTAAGATTTTACTGAAAATAGGCGAAACCTGCCTCTATGGGAGGTGGAGGGTTTCCTTAAGCTTCGCAAACAGGACAAAAACTCAAGGCAGGAAAGGAAGAGTGAGAAAAGGACCTGGCAGGAACCCAGGTTACCGACGTGGGGCTAGGATTGGGGTTAGAGTAGCAAAAACGAATGTACGTGGGCCAATTTGCGTCCAACGTTCTGCCCGCCGCCGGCCGTCCGCCACCTCCCGTTAGAGCCCCGCCTGGGTCAGGTGAGTAGGTGGCTCGCGCAGAGCCTAGAGGAGGAGCCGCCCCCGAGGGGCCGGCGCGCGTCCGCAGCCGCGCCAACGTGGCTGGCGCAAGAGGCCGCGCACGTGGCTGGCCCCAGGCTTGGGGGCGGGGGCGCGCAGGGGTCTCCTGCTCCTCCAGGTGATCAAGGCCCTGGGCACCAGCTGGCCCCAAGCCTCGCTTCTGAGAGCACGAGGAGTGAAGCAAATAGGCTGGGCGGAGGAGGGTTGGGTCATGGCGAGGAGGGGGCGGCCAGGCGGGCCCGCGCGCAGGCCGCGTGCACGCGCCGGAAGAGGGGCGCGCGGGGCGAGCCGGGGCGGGGCGGGGAGGGGATGGGGGCGGGGTGGGGGCAGCCCTTTCACAGTCGGTAGCGGGGGCGGCGTCGCTGTTGCCCTTTTAAGCCGCGGGGCCGCGGTCCCCTGCCGGCAGAGTCAGTTACAAAGAGAGCAGTCACTCAAGCCGCTCGCTACACAGTTGCCGGCCGAGGCCTCGGTGTCCCTAGCCATTTTCAGCCGCCGTCCGTCGCTGGCCTCGGCTGCGGAGAGAGGCGGAGCCGCAAGAGCGCGGTCCCAGGCCGGCCCTGCGGGGCGGTCGCGGCCGTGACGGCGGCCCCGGGCCCGGCTCCCCTTTCGCACCCCTCCTGCCGGAGATGAGGGGAAGATGTCCGTGTCAGGGCTCAAGGCGGAGCTGAAGTTCCTGGCGTCCATCTTCGATAAGAACCACGAGCGATTCCGCATCGTCAGCTGGAAGCTGGACGAGCTCCATTGCCAGTTCCTGCTGCCGCCTCCGGCACCGCCCGGCAGCCCGCACTCGCCGCCGCCGCCGCTCACACTCCATTGCAACATCACGGTGAGGCGCCCGGCCTCAGCCCCTCGGAACCAGGCGAGGGCGGAAAGGGGCTCCCTGAGTCCCCGGACAAAGGGGAGTCGGTCCTGTAGAGGCCCCTTGGTTCCCGGGGCTCCGGGCGGGGCGGATCCGCCCCTTTCCCCGCAAGGGGCCCAGCCCAGGCCCAGCCTTCCTGGCCCCAGGCTTGGGTGGGAGGAGGCGGGCAGCACATTTCTCGGCTCTTTCTGCGGGTCTGGGTTTGGGGCTGCTAGTCCCCCTCGGTCCTCGTCTCCGCGCCTCGGGGTGGGAGATCGCGGCGGCCCTTGCCCTCGCCGGGTCGCCATGGCTCCCCACAGCTGGCCTGCTCCCGGACCACGCGAGGTCGGTCGGCTCTGGTTGTTTGAACCCCAGCAAGGAAGGGGGAAGGCCCTCCAGTTTTAACGCCTTACTCTTCAGTCAAATTTCCCTGGTCCTGCTTATTCACCCAGTTATTTTTAAGTTTGTGTTAAGGAAAAACATACTGAAAACTGATGGATTTGAGGAGAAAAAGTTTAGAATGCAGCTTCTGGTACTGTTTGAACTATCCCCTTCCTGCTGGCCTGGGTCCGCGCGTACGTGTTTTCGAAAGGTGCTTTGTATCTGGATTCGGCAGGTGGTGGTATCCGTATTTGCTTACATTTCCCCCCCCCCCCCCGTGTGTAAGTATTGAAAGTTATTTGCGGCCAAAAGGTGTTTGCCCAAGACGTCTGCCCAGAAAGATTATTTTATGTCACAAAGCCAAAAAGACGATTTAAAGCTCACTCTTTCGTTTAAGTTGGAAGCTTGTTAGAAACTCGGGACTCTCTTGGTAAGATAATTGAAGTGTTTAATAAGTTTTTTTCGTGATAGTGTGTGATGCAACTCTTCGTGGTGAAATTGTTTTAGGGTATTGTTCCAAACTGCAGAATATAGTCCTTATAACAGGAGTCAAGGTGTTGGTTTCATGTTTTTTCAAACCAAGTCTGGTGTTTTTGACCCCTTTTGGTGAAGCTCACTGCCTAAAGTGTGCATGGTACTCGAGAGTTTGGAAAGACCGTAAAGTTATAATTGACCTTAAAATAATTTTCAGAATATCTGGGGGAGTAGTGTGTAATTTTGAAAGAAAAATACAAGTGCTGTACTGAGGAGAGAAGCCATCTATTGAACATACAGGTGTTCTAGGCACTGACTGAGTTTGCAAAACTGGATGGAGCATTCCCTGCTTTCAGAACTAAATCTTGGGGGAAGAGTTTTCTAAAACAAAGTGTTAACAGGTTCTGTGGTGTCCTTATGAAAGCCAAAGAGAGCAATTAATTTTGAATTTAGTGGTGGGGTGGTACTTCAGAGAAGGCTTTGGTGAGAGGCCGCAGTGGAGATGGGCTATCACAGGTGAGTTGAATCTTGGAGTGGAAGTGCATTTTAAGCAGAGGAAATGCTATTCCAAAACACCAAAGCTTGAGAAAATGTGTTTTGCTTGGGAGTATACAAACTATGGGGATATACGCTGGTAAAGGAGAAGATTTTCCAAGGATGGGGAATAGGAAGGACCATGAAGGAGACTGGCCTGCGTGGTGATTATTCTAGTTGAAGTTGGGATATGACTGGGAAAAGGTAGGGCTGGTTTGCATGATAGAATACTGAACTTGTAGGCTGTGGGGAGCTACTAAATTACTGAGGTAATAAATTGGAAAAATGTGTTTCCCATCCAACATTAGGGGTGGTTCACTACAGGTTTAATTAGTGTGTGGTATTAGGAAATGTGTATGTATGGTTTAGGTTATCTTAATGGCTTGTAGGGTGGTGGTACTGCTGTGCTGGCATTTAGTGCCAGGGGTTCAGAGATGCCAGATGTCTTATAATGTTCAGGCAGTCTGCCGCAACAAAGAATTATTCCTCTTCAAATGTCAGCAGTGCCCCTATTGAGAATCATATAGGAGGCTGATAGGAGTAAGCTGCACACAAAGTACTGAGTGAAGACCTGGATTAGGAAATGGAGCAAGGGTTGAAGGACAGACACCTAGTGAAAGGAGGATTTGGTTGGGACTGGTATAATAGTACCATAGTAAAAACTACTCAAAATTATGACCTATTATCCCAAGAAAATTATGATGGTAGCTCAGTGTATATGAATGTGTATTAACTTTTTGTGGAGAAACATCAGACATAAACAGAAGTTGAATAGTGTGGAGAAGTCCATGTACTCAGCCTCAACAATGATAGACTTTTGGCCAATCTTCTTTCATCTGTATCCCACCTTAGATTATTCTGAAGCAGGTTCTTGACCTGTCACTTAATCTGTAAATAATTCAATGAGTACCTCTAAAAAGATAAAGACCCTTTAAGCATAGGTAAGTGTTTTTGATAAAATCTACATGGCTTGCTTGTGTCCATACCATTCTTGGAGGGAAAGAGCAAAGAAAAATGGAGTTGGACTTCAAATGCCAGGACCTGTCTGCTGTGTTTGTAAATTAATATTATCTACAAGGTTATATCTCTTAAAAAAAAAAAAAAAAAAGGTAATGAGTTTGATCTATTCTTTAATTTTTCCTCTTATTTTCTCTTATTCCCAAATATTTATTGAGCTCTTCTATATACCAGGCCATCTTTTACATTGCCCACCAAGAAGCATGCTTTATATAGTTTCTTTAACATTTGAGTAAGCAGTACCTCACCAGTTGTTTTCCTTTCTCTCATGCATGTCAATTTCTGAATAATACTTTAAGCATACTGTGGCACCTTTTTCTTTCAGGCTTCTGCATCAGTTTTTCCCAGACAGAATGTGCCCCTTACCCCACTCCAGTCTGTCTTTCCATGTCTGACCATCCCTCAAAGTTCTTCAAGGAATTCATATTCAGTTTATGTTAGTGTTTATTCCCCTTAGTTCCTTCTATAGACCTTGCTATTATTGCTTTGGTTATGTTTTCTTTTCTTTCTTCTTTTTTTAATTTTTTTTACATTTTTAAAAATGTTTATTTTTGAGAGGGAGGGAGACACAATATCTGAAGCAGGTTTCAGGCTCCGAGCTGTCAGCACAGAGCCTGACGTGGGGCTCTAACCCATGAATTGTGACCTGAGCCAAAGTCGGATGCCCAACCAACTGAGCCACCCAAGGACCCCATGTTTTCTTATATTCTGTTTATAATAGTTTTAGATAATTGTCTTTTTTTTTGGTCTTTTTTTATGATGGCAGAGAAGTATAGTCTATAATTATGCTTTTCACCTTCCACTCTGTAAATGCTCAGTAAATATTTGTCCTGTTGGCTACAAGGCCACCATTTTAGTTATATTATGTTTGAATAAAAATCTTAACTATTGTGTAAGTTAGCTGCCAAGAGTTTGTCAAAAGTGCAGGTATAACATCAAGAAATATTTGTTTAACAACATTTTTTAATGTTTTATTTATTTTTGAGAGAGAGATAGAGACAGCATGAGCAGGGGAGGGTCAGAGAGAGAGGGAGACACAGAACCCGAAGACAGGCTCCAGGCTCTGAGCTAGCTGTCAGCACAGAGTCCAACGTGGGGCTTGAACCCACGAACTGTGAGATCATGACCTGGGCTGAAGTCGGATGCTCAACCGACTGAGCCACCCAGGCGCCCCACATCAAGAAATATTTAAATATTTACGGGCACCTGAGTGGCTCAGTCAGTTGAGCGTCCACCTCTTAATTTCAGCTCAGCTTGTGGTCCCCTGGTCCTTGATCAAGCCCCCACATTGGGCTCTGCACTGAGTGTGGAGCCTGCTTGGGATTCTCTTCTCCTCTGCCCTCTCCTCTGCTTGCTGTAGCTCTCTGTCTCCTTAAAATTATTTTTAATTAAAAAAATTTTTAAACATTTAAAAGGTCACTGGATAAGAAGTCTGTAATTTAACTTAATATGAATGACAGGTTTAAGAAGTAAAAAACAAAACATAGATGTTTTACTCCTAAGCCAAGGGAATTAAACTAAATCTTTTTCTGTTACATAAGTCTGTCCTAATCTTAAATATGAAGGGAAAGAATGCTATTTTCAACTTCAAGGAGTCTTCCTTAATGTTTTCTGTGAACTCCTAATAGGAAGGAGTGCCGTTCAAACATCTAATAGCCAGTTACACTAACATCCAGTTAGGCTCACACTTAAAAGCAAAGCAGCTAATTTTAATAACCTGTGTGGCCTAATTGGGAGCTAGTACATGGCTTTCTTTTAGTCCTTTTGAAATATTTGACAACTCCATCACTCCTTTTATGGACTTCTTGGCATCTGGTAACTCTTGGTAGGAAATCACTATTTCAGAATGAAAAATCCCCCCCAGAATGTAAATTAGCTGGTAAACAAATAAAATATCATACTTTTATTGTTTGGATAGCATAAACCATTACTCTTTCTGTGTGAGTGACTATTTGCCAGTGATAAAATGTGTGGTAGCACTTTTTTTTTTTTTTTGCTAATTACATTTCTATTCATCATTGTGAAAAATTCCCTTTCCTCTCCCTTCCCCCACAGCAAGCAAGACACTAAAATAACAAATGTTAAGTTTGGGAGTTTAGGTGAGAGAAAAAGGTTTAGTTTATACTTAGTAGCTGGGACCTTAAGCATATCACTTCTTGTGTTTTTCTATAAAGTAGATAATACTTTTTGTCTTGCATGAAAGCTTATATGTGAAAGCTCTTTATCAAGAATAATGTCCTCTACGGGGCGCCTGGGTGGCTTAGTCGGTTAAGCGTCCGACTTTCGCTTAGGTCATGATCTCGCGGTTCGTGGGTTCGAGCCCCGTGTCGGGCTCTGTGCTGACTGCCAGCTCAGAGCCTGGAACGTGTTTCAGAGTCTGTGACTCCCTCTCTCTCTGACCCTCCCCTGCTCGCGCTGTCTCTCTCTGTACTAGAAATAAATAAAACATTAAAAAAAAAAAATAACGTCCTCTACAAATATGAAATTGGCTGAATAACATTTTATTTTGGAAAATGCTTTATAACAGCTTTACCTGGGAAATAAATCAGTGCTGTTAATTTCTTAATTTTTTATGTTTCTAG